AAATGGTCAGTCCGCCCCTGGAGACTGCCAACTCCCCATGTAGCAAGCTTGCAAAGCTGTAAGATGGCTTTAGAAATTGGCACCTTAATTATTTTCTTTTGCAATCTGAGACCAACCTGGCAATATGGACTCAATGGGTTTGCTTTACTAAAGGTAAATAGAATTATGAATTGTATGTATTTCAACTCTGAAAAGCAATCAACAGTGGGCTCAGGTCTGAGATCAGGCTTAAATGTGGGATCAGGAGCTTTTTTTGTTCAGTATAAAAAGGCAGCAGAGGAGACACAGGGATTCACAAGATGGAAGACTACATATGTTCATCCTGGCAGCATTCAGAGGAGGTGGGAGCAGAGGCCCTGCATGAACTGTCTCCTGTACTCTGTGCGCTGTCAGTCAAGGACAATGATAGATCTAGCTCCTACGCTCAGCAAGGTTGGATAGTGGTGTGGCAAGCTAACTGACTACACTGCTCAACAGCCACTTGACAGATTTGAATGGGAGTGAGTGCTATGTGCACTGGGTCTCTTGGAAGATTCAACAAAACTTTTAGTGCTGGTTCACATATATGTGGATTTAATGAAGTTTGAACCGCATCCAGTCCGCATGACATGTGAAATAACATTGCTTCCTATGGTGCCTGTTCACATATGCCCGGTGCACTGGCGGTGCGGATTCAGTGTGGTTTGAAAAAGAGTCATGTATGATTTCTGAGCAGTGCCTTCAGATTCAGATGCAGATTACAGGCTATTGACTTCTATGGGAACCCTTTCTAAACCACATATGCGAACAGGATAAAATCCTGACTAGAGATGAGCGAATCGAACATGGCGAAGTGGAATTCGTTTCGAAGATTAGGAAAAATTCGATTCGCGCCGAATCCGAAAATTAGCAAACTTCGGATGCGCGAATCGAATTTTCCCAAAAATGGCGGCGACATGTGTGGTGACGGAGCGGGGATCTCTGGGAAGGCGCGCAGACAAGGCGCGCTGACCCATAATGCATTCATTCATGACATGTGATCGCATTAGCCAATCAGCAGCCAGCCAGCCAGCACTGTGTAATGGTGGAGCTATAAATCGCGGCCATCTTAGAATTCTCCATTAGCCTCCGGTCATTCAAGAGAGACAGACCTGTCTGTATTAGGGACAGAGTTAGGGCCCACAGAGACTTTAGGGTCACAGAATCGTTACTGAGGGACACAGAATTGTTACTCAGGGACACAGAATTGTTACTCAGGGACGCAGAATTGTTACTCAGGGACACAGAATTGTTACTCAGGGACACAGAATTGTTACTGAGGGACACAGAATCGTTACTGAGGGACACAGAATTGTTACTCAGGGACACAGAATTGTTACTCAGGGACACAGAATCGTTACACAAATACTCAGGGACACAGAATTGTTACTCAGGGACACAGAATTACTGAGGGACACAGAATTGTTACTCAGGGACACAGAATTGTTATTCAGGGACACAGAATCGTTACTCAGGGACACAGAATTGTTACTCAGGGACACAGAATCGTTACTTTCTGCTTCACAACCACTATTGAATTAAAGAGTATGTCAGACAACACGCAGAGGAGTGGCAGAGGAGGCAATGTTTCAGGAGCGAGCAGACGTGGCAGCAGAGGAAGAGGACGAGGCAGCACTAGTCGCAGCCAGAGGCCAGTGCTCCCGGTGTCATCCAGCGGTCGTGTCTCCACCGACAACCCTGCCGTCATCGATTGGTTGACTCGGTCGTCTTCCTCTTCCCAGGTCACCTCTGACACCTACAGCCAACGGTCGGTGGGTACGTCAGACACAACCGTTAGTTGGCATGGCCCGAGAGCAAGCCCACTGAAATCACATGTCCTCTACCTGCCCCTGTCCTTTGGTGTTCCCTCACCAAGCGAAGTATCGCATGCTGTGGGCTCAGCCCCACTGTACAGTGAGGAAGAGCTAACAGAGGGCGGTCAGGAACGGGGGGAGACATCCGCCTCTTCAGCAGCCAGGCGAAGAAGTACTGGCGAGGAGAGTGGCTCGGTAGCCGGTCTAGAGACAGGTCTGTCTCCTGACCCACACGCAGCCGAGGGGGCTAGTAGTGACGCGGAGACCCTAATTGATGATGATGAGGCTGATCGCACTTGGCAGCCTCGTCGTCATCAGGCTATTGCTTCTGCATCATCAGGAGAAGAGGGTGGCAGCTTGGCAGCGAGCAAAACAGTCGGTGGGTTGCCCAGGAGGCAGCAGGGTCGCAGCAGTGTCAGTGGAGGCAAATGGCCACGGAGTAGAGCACCAGCTCCACTGCAGCCTACCACCACGGCCAGTAGTGGTGCCGGTGTGCACGGAGGAAGTAGCAGTCAGCCAGTGAGGAGTAGCGGGGGCAAAGTTTCCTACTCGGCGGTGTGGCAATTTTTCGTCACGCCGTCCGAGGAAGTAAACGTAGCCGTATGTCGACTATGTGGCCAGAAAGTCAAGCGTGGCCAGGGGGCCATGTTGGGACTACAGCGTTGCGTCAGCATATGCAGCGTCGCCATTCGGTGGCCTGGGAAAACCGTGATAAAGATACGGCGGTTCTGCCTGCCCCAGCCCCCGCTCCATCACCCGCTCCGTTACTTGCTCCGTCACCCGACGTCAATCGCCCTCTATCAGCCAGTCAAGGCTCCAACACCTCTGCTGAGGGGAGTTGTCGCTCGTTGGCATCTTCCGCTCGTTCAGATGCTCCTTCTCCTGCTACTCCTCTTCACGGATTCCGTCAGCAGTCTTTCTTGGAATCCGTTTCCAAGAGACAACAGTTTGCGAGCACGCACCCGACGGTGCAGAAGCTGAACGTCCTCCTGTCCAAGTTGCTGGTGCTGCAGTCCCTCCCTTTCCAAGTGGTGGACTCAGCACCTTTCCGAGAAATGATGGCTTGTGCCGAGCCACGGTGGAGAGTGCCAAGCCGGCATTTCTTCGCCAAAAAGGCAGTGCCAGCCCTGCATTCACATGTAGAAGAGATGGTGGGCCAGTCTTTGAGCATGTCGGTCTCTGCCAAAGAGCACAGCAGCGCCGACGTGTGGAGCTGTAACTACGGTCAGGGACAGTACATGTCATTTACGGCCCACTGGGTGAACGTGGTGCCGGCACAGCCGCACCAGCAACTTGGACAGGTCACGCCGCTTTTGCCTCCACGTTTGCACGTCCTTGTCCAGCAAAGATGTCCGCCTCTACCACCTCTTCTTCCGCCGTGTCCTCAGCCGCCACCCCCGTGCCAAGTCCCATTACTCGACCGGCATATCACATGTGCAGGGCGCAACGGAGTCACGCTGTGCTGCACCTGGTATGCCTTGGCGAACGTAGTCACACAGGGGAGGAACTTCTGAGTGTAATGAACAGAGAAATCGACAGATGGCTGTCTCCGCGCAAACTGAAAATCGGAACCATGTTGACCGACAACGGAAAGAACATGGTGTCTGCTCTGCGTCAAGGAAGGTTGTGCCATGCGCCATGCATGGCTCACGTGTTCAATCTGGTTGTCAAGCGGTTCCTAAAATCCACCATCCCACTGCAAGACATCCTTAAAATGTCACGTAAACTTTGCATGCATTTCAGCCATTCCTACACCGCAAAGCACACCCTCCTTGAGCTGCAGCGGCAGAACGGAATTCCACAGCATCGCCTGATCTGCGACGTTGCAACAAGGTGGAATTCAACCCTACACATGTTAGACCGCCTTTACGAACAGCAAAAGGCCATCACCGATTTCCTGATGTTACAAGCGGATAAAGGTACTCCCCTGTGTAACTTAGATGTCAGCCATTGGCAGCTCATGCATGACACCTGCCGCTTGCTCAGGCCCTTTGAGGAGGCCACGCTATTCGTGAGTCGGCAGGACTATGGGATGAACGACGTCATTCCTCTGTTGCACGTCCTGGAACAAATGCTGTTAACAATGGCTGGTCAGGGTGCGGTAGACGTGGCGCACAGATCTCAACGCCACATGACCCCTGTGGGGGCAGGACAGGAAGAAGAGGAGGAGGTAGAAGAGGACATTGGTGCTCAGGAATTATTGAGTGAAATGGGTGGTTTTTCCACTCAGCGGACAGGAGTGGAGGAGCAGGAGCATCTGGTAGAGGAGGAGGAGGAGACAGAGGACCCAGACGCACCGTGGCAGTATGCTGTGGAGATGGAGGCAGGGAGTCCCTCGCATTCCTTGGCACAAATGGCCCATAGCATGCTCGGTTGCTTGCGTAGCGACAGCCGAATAATAACCATCAGACAGAGGGATGACTTTTGGCTGTCCACCTTGTTGGACCCTCGCTACCGTTCAAAAATGGTGGCCTTTTTCACACCTGCTGAGAGGGAGGCCAAAATAAAGTACTATAAAAAGCACCTATGTAGTCAGTTGGTCTCTGCCTTTCTGCGCCAACGTCCATCCTCAGACACTGTGGGCCCTGTGCGCTCGCGTTCCGCTGCCATGGCAGCAGGGGAGGGGTGGGGTGGTAGGAGCAGTGGCAGCTCCACCAGCAGTGGCTGCCTCAGTCTGCAGTCGATGATGAGTAGCTTTCTTCACCAGCGCAGTGAGGAAACTACTAACCAGCCGCAGCAGCAGCAGCATCAGGTGGACCTGGAGCAGGACCTCAAACAACAGGCTCGGGCCTACTTGGACAGCACCCTGCCAACCGAGGTAGACAATCCCCTTGACTACTGGGCAACGAAACTTGACCTTTGGCCCCAACTAGCTGAATTTGCCCTTGAAAGGCTGTCATGCCCGGCCAGTAGCGTGGCATCGGAGCGCGTGTTTAGTGCGGCAGGAGGTATTGTAACTCCGCGGAGGACACGACTGTCCACCCAAAGTGTGGAGAGACTCACGTTTGTGAAAATGAATCAGGCGTGGATTAGTCTGGATTTCAAACCACCAGTTCCTGACACAACTGACTAAATCCGCCATGAATCATGCCCCAAACATGTTATTATTTTTAACATAGGCCTCTGTATGGCCTTCAATTTAAGCTGCTTACGCTTCGCCACTCTGCCATGGGCCCCTGTACCGCCTCCTCATGCTGCTGCCAGGTCCAGAGTGTGTCATGGGTCCCTGTACGGCCTCCCATTGCTGCTGTCTCCATCGCCACACTCTGCCATGTGCCACTTTCAGGTCTCCTCACACTGCTGGTGGGTTCCATTTTGTCATAGGGTGCTGTATGGCCTCCCATTGCTGCTGCCAGGCCCGTAATCTGCCATGGGCCCCCGTACCGACTCCTCATGCTGCTGCCAGGCCCGTAATCTGTCATGGGCCCCTGTACGGCCTCCTCATGCTGCTGCCAGGTCCAGAGTGTGTCATGGGTCCCTGTACGGCCTCCCATTGCTGGTGTCTCCATCGCCACACTCTGCCATGTGCCACTTTCAGGTCTCCTCACACTGCTGGTGGGTTCCATTTTGTCATAGGGTGCTGTATGGCCTCCCATTGCTGCTGCCTCCACCGCCACACTGTGGCTCCACACTCTGGTTTTGGCCCCGTGACTGCCCAAATGAGTGAAGTGTGCGGTGATTCTAAGATCGACGGCACTCATCTGCATGTCATACTGACTGACAGTATTATTTCTCTTCCCCAGCAGACTCCAAGGGCATTTAAATTAAAGGTACAGTGTTCTGCACTAATATAAAGGCTCTCTGAAGCCTAGAAACACCCTTTTTATACGTTAAATTCGCAGCGAATATATTCGCCTCGAATCAAATTTATTCCGCTAATTCGGCGAATCAGCCGAATCGAATTTTTGAATAATTCACTCATCTCTAATCCTGACCTAATCCTGTCCTGAACCTGATATAAACCTGACATAAACCATTGAACAACTGCTGTGTCAATTAGCTTTGAAACCTGAGCTTCAATCCACACCACATATGTGTAAATCTGCTCTTAAATTTCTTATAATGTTTTTTCTTTAAATAGAATTTTTGAAAAAAACCCAGATAAGGATATTGATAGTTTCAGAAAAAACTCACCCTTTAAGGAAACACAGGAGTTTCAAGATTATCTGTATTGCTGCATTTGATCCAATTATTGCATTCATATGCCCATGACAAATCCCTTGAGGGGACACAAAAATTAGAATATTCATGCTAAAATGTAATTTTAATCTTTTCTTAAATTTTTCCTAAAATATTTAATTTGTAAAAATGGCACAGAGTCAGCAAAGTTTCTCTTTTTATATATAAATCAAAATAGTAATTGCCTAGCATTTTAAAGGTAGCTAAATCTTACTTGTAGAGAGTATGTCTCTGGTTACACTTCAATACAATGAATATAAACCAATGTTAAGCAATTCGGGATGCTTCTTGTAAGGTGGACATTTTGTGGAAAGGAGCATTAATTGCTGCAATAGCTTTAGGTGTTGCATTATGCTCCAGGGAATTATGCACCATACTGTTTCTGAATGACACAGCCATTTCTGACTCCATTAATATGGAAGATTTCAGCCAAATGCTTTTAAACGATAGCTTCTCCTTATTTGTAATTTCAGACTCTATTGATTTCCTTCTGTTCCCTTCATTATGATTTCAATTGATTACCTTGGCAACTGCAATAGCAGTGATTGCACTTGACACTGTCTGATACTCTTGAGATGGCATTTGAATAGAAATGGTATGATTTTGGGAAAAATGCCTGCAAGAATCTGACATTAGTGTTGGGTGACCACCTGTTCATTTTGTAAAAGCATTTGCATGTTTTTCTGTATTGTTTATTTCAATCATCTTTCTTTTTTCTCAAATTTATTTCTATTTAAAATCAAGATAACAACAAAGTATCTATTCAGAGGCACATATCAATACTTAAGACGAGTATATCTACAGAGGACAGGACAACAAATAAAAAAGCATGCAAATCAAGTAAAGAAAACAATATTATAACAGCTACAACAAACAATGAAAAAAGGATCCTAGCTCTTGGAGTAAATGATATAATTTGCATACACAAAAGTGGGAGCAGCTATTGAAAATAAAATCTCCACTAGGGTCAAACACCAATCTTTGAATAAATTCCTGGTGTATGCTATCACACACTTGGCTTCTGATTAAAGAACTCTAGAATGTGTGCCCATTTATAAACAAGTTAATTTAGACTGTATGGTTTTGGTGCTGTGAAAGATTTAACATAATATAGATTGTTGCCAATCAGACAATGCTTTTCTTGAACACACCTTATTTAAGTTTACCATTTCACTAAACTGACTATGGGAGAAGGCAGCGCATGAGCTCATCATAAGCTACTTTTAAAACAATGCTATAAATAATACATAACACATTTTTATGTGTTTTTATGTGTTTTTAAGGTGCATTTAGCTGTTTATAAGGGCGATATCATAAAAGTATATGTACGCTACCCTCCTAAAGGGCCACTGTGTTTCTAGGTCCCCCTAAGATACCCACAGCCAGGCAACATGCATTTTCCACTCTTGCATCCACAGTCAGTGAACAGTCCATGAGCTTGGTTTTTGTTTTTGTATTAGGGGAAATAACTTAGATAGGATAATAGGGATAGTGGGATGCCCAACATAACTGAATCAATGCATAGGGACAACTTCCCTCCTATTTAAAGACACAGATCCTGGAGTGTTCTTTTCCTTGAATGCCATCAGTCTTTGCGGATCAGTAGCAACAGCCCCTTACAGGCTAGAGACTTGCAGCCCCTCTGAAAGTTAGCTTAGCTTGTTGCAAATTACAAGCAGAATATGTAATCAGGATCAAACTGCGTAAGTCTCCAATTACCTTATCCTACAAAGCTGCAAATATTAAAGAGGATATCCTCTCTTTTAAAAAACTATGTATAGTAAAATATTGCGCTAACTCCACAACCAATGGTACTACTGTAGGTCAATGCTATAAGTTTGATGTTAGTATTATGGATAGTCTTCCTTCAGATAATTCACCAACATATGCACCACCACCAAATACTTAAATGGAGGCTTACTAAAAAAAAAAAATCCTACTTACAGACTGTAGAACAATAAAAAGCATTCAAAAAGTCTGCTTTCAAATGGCCGTCAGTGCAATGACATCAGAGGGAGGCTCTGCAGTGTCTGTAAGTAGGATTTTACTGTGCAAATAAAGGATTGTGATACGTACTGCACTAAGAGAGGCATGTTTTCTTTTCTATGATATCATTTGGCACCATTTTAGAGTTCACATTTGGGTCTTGGAGGTTTGGAAGATTCATGATTCGGGCATGCATAGGAGTATATCTGCTAACATTCTATACTGAAATGTGTTTTGAAACCTATAATTAAGGGGTCTCTATTTCTGGTAAGCCTCCATTTAAGTATTTGGTGGTGGTGCACACGTTGGTGAATTATCTGAAGGAAGACTATCCATGATGCTAACATCATACTTACAACATTGACATACAGTGGTACCATTGGTTGTGGAGTTCTTCTTCATATGGACTTTATTACGTGTCTATATGGACTACATGTCACTGTTTTTGAATTGATCACTTTACACAGATTTGAGTGTCTTTATAATGTATGTATTTAACTAGTGAAGTTCACACATCATTTTTAATTCATTTGTTTTTACTGATTTGATCACTTTTTATAGGTATGAGGGCCTTCATAGTGCATATGCATGTTTAATGAAGTTTACTGATTTACAATATTTTACTATACATAAATTACATGCAGAGACATATCCTCTCCCCTGTAGAACTGCTTCCAGGTCCACAGCCTGCAGTCACTACCAACCCTCCTGGCTGCTATGAAAAGCTCCCAGGTCACGCATAAAGGATTCATCTCAATGTTGTCCTTTGAAAGCTTGCTACATGTGGCAGTCTCTCCCCTTGTAAATCCCTGGGTGTGCTGATATACTCACTCTGTCTCCTTGCTTCCACTGCTCCCAGGCCTTGATCATGTTCATGCTGTGATGCTGAATGGACCCTCCTGAGTCATCCCAAGCCCAGCCTGGAGGCCAGCCCCTTCTAGACCTAGGGGACCCTCCCAGGCCACTGACAGTCTCCTCAGCACTCCATCTTCCACCCAACTCCCCTGCCATCCTGACTTTCCCATATTTTTGGGTTGCTCTCACCACTCTACCAGAGCGTCCAAAACTGAGATTGGCTAGACTCCCATAAACATGCAAATTACATCTTCACTCCTTCTGCCCACTTGCTTCTGGAAGGATTTACGGCCCTCCAGAACCTGGTGGTGGTGATAGAGTCCCAACCTGTAAAGCCATCCAGCCTGACCTGCAGTAACCCAACCTAATTACAGACTCACACAGTTACCATGAGTCATACACAATAAGTTTACCTACACTATCCTAGTATCACACTAGAGGGTGATACATATGCTACATATATATTTATAAGTCATCTTAAGCTATGTGGGAAGAAAGAAGAGGCACAATGATGGCTTAGCCATCAGTTAGGAAGTAGAATGACAGCTGGTTATGAACCAGTGGGCATAAAGGGTGCAGAATAGAAGCTGTTCATGACAGGGAATGGAGGGAGAATGGAGCAATATTTGACAATGGAACTTTTGGAGGAGCAAAGAAAGCAGAGCAAGAGATTAGCCAATCAGAAAGTAAATAGAGAATAGAAAGAATGTGTGTTGATCAGGTATCAAGCAGAGTAAGCATATAATAGAATGTAGAAAGCAGATGATTCTGGATCTCTCTGGTAAGCTGATTCCAGACAGGGGCTAGAGAAGAGAAAAATTCAGTTGTGGATAATAGGTATAGTGTGGCTGGCCATGGCTGGAGTACGAAAAGAGAAGATGGTTGTGGTTAGAATGAGGAGCTTAGAGCAGGAGTTGATAGTAAACAGGATAGAGTGGAGGCTGAAAGAGAACTGATTGTTTCTGAGAGTTGGAGAGGATAGAGGGACATCAGCTGATCATGCAGAGGTAAACCCATGGACAAGAGAGTGAAGATAAAGGTAGAAATGGAGATACTGGTCATGACCTTGAGAGTAGAAAAAGGAGGCAGACAGTGAGCTGATCATAGACAGGATAAGAGATTGTGTGTGAACTATTTGTCTCTTGTGAGGGAGGAGTGGCAGGTCATAACTTTGACAATAGCGCTCTCAGCCTGACTCCACACAGAGGTTTTCCAGCTTGGGGAACAACACTCTAAGTGGCAGAACACTGAGAATGATTGACACTGGGGTGAGTTAACTCCACAGTTAACCCTTTCACACACACACACACACACTAGTTGCCACCGCATGTTTTTAACAGAAACATGAAAAGGAAAGACAGTGCAAGCAAATTAAAAATATAATTTAATAAATGAAAAGGAAAAACAGTGCAAGCAAAATATTTACAGATAAAGATATTACAAAATAAACAATTTATCTTTATCTTTAGATAAATAAATAAAGTGCAGCGCTAAAATATATAAATGGATAAAAGTTTGTTTAAAAGTTCGTGCAATCAATGAAACTCATATATAACACTAGTGAAACACTTCCACAGCTGTAAATATCTCATAAAGGCTTGTGACAGGAGAAATGGCAGAAATGCGCACTCACCGACCGCGCATAGGAAATGCGCATATAAATATCCTTCAACCAGAGTGTAAACAGCGGGTAGATGATGAGGCATCCCTCAGGAAAAAGTTTTCATCAAGCTTGGGTGAAGTGGTGGTCAGCTGGACTCAGAGGACTCCTTTA